GTTCTGTGTGATTATATAACATGAATTGAATTGAATTAGGATGTTGAGCTGCCACACGAATAAATAAGAATTAATTGGGTTATTATTATTAACTTCTATGTGTGTATGTACGTGTATTGTCCTTTCTCATCACATAATGGAATAACCATTCGAAATATGCTTATTTTATTTTCTCACCTGTTAATGCTAACTTTAATTTTTCTTGGAATTATTATTAATTTAATGACATTATATAGATTGTCTTATTTGTATTTTGTTTTTTAGTTATATCTGTATTTCTATGTACTCGTGCCAACTTTGTTATTGGCCTCTGTGCTGTTAAGTTTGCATGTAAATAAACATGAACTGAATTGAACTGAATTATTTCGATGATGGTGAACCTGATCAAAATGTAACTCTTGTTATAATATTTCAATTCCCAAAATAAGAATTCACAAGAAAACACTACTTTTAAAGTGGCAATATATAACACCTTCCTTAAAGATATACTGCATGTTGTATTTCGTTTACTGGCGTAGTATAAATCTTGTTCCTCGTTAAACACGGAGATCTGGAGACAAAAGAACTGTATCATTACCAGGGTCAACAAACGCCGACCCAGTTCAACAGTCAGATAAAAATTGCGTTTGTCATAAACGTTTGCGCAACAGAAACAGCGCCTATCACTTGTCGCTTTAATTGCTATGCATATGCTCCTGTTCCTAATATTATGTACATACGTACGCAAGATAGCGTTTAATGTTCAGACTTACTGTCGACATCTGTGGAGAAATAAAAAAAACATAGTGAAAGAGAATTTTAACCATTTAAAGACTCAAAGTCAAAGTCACATTGCGACTGGCGGTCGGTGAGGCAGTCAGTAAGTCTTGGTGTCAAGCCTCGTCTGGGGCTCATGACCAGATATTTATTACTGTTTGACAGTTACGGTCTTGTTTTTGAGGGCGCCCTCTCTGACGAGAGGACGGGTCTGTTTTTTTTTTTAATATGCTGCTGGCTCTTGCCAGCGCAGTCTTTCTCGTGTCCGAGTCCCTTGGAACTAGAAACCATATTTTACTGTCTCAGATTTGAGACTTCCCTTTTCGTCGCCTCTTACGACTCGCAGGGTCACGGTGGAGGTATTCGATCCCGTTTCCACACACCTGCTGATTTTTTCAAATAATATATAAAATTCAGTTCGTACCTCACAGAAAACAAGTTAAATAAGGCCGCGCCATAGCTCAAGCGGTTAATCGCTGGCTTCCCACCGCGGCGGCCCGGGTTCGATCCCGGGTCTGGTCAAGTGGGATTTGTGGTGGACAAAGTGGCGCTGTGGCAGGTTTTCTCCGATTACTTTGGTTTCCCCTGCCAATCTTCATTCCACCAAATTCTCCATCATCATAATCACCCGGGGCAGGCTACAATATGCCAATCATTGGCTGCCGTGCCGAGTGGACCCAGTTGGACTCCAC